GCTATGTTGGTGATGCTTGGCAAATAAACTGTTTTGTTGCATGTGGGAGGAAATTAGAGTACCAATAGAAACTCCACTTGCAGGCGGTGCTACCATTCACATACGCACAGAAATATGTCAACAAGCTCTGCGGACAACAGTGAGGGCAACAGCCTGATTTTCTGTACCAGATAGCCATGTAAATGTATGGCAATAGTTCACAATGGTGCTTTGAAGAACACTTATTTCCTTACAGTTTAATTAATTATCTCACATTTTACCAACGTGGATACTTTGCTTAGCAACTGTCATATAAAACAACCCCTTGTACCCAGATTACCAAGGAGAGGATCGTGGCATCCACAGCTGCTTAGGTCACACAGGCACTAATGTGGAAGTATATATTCTGTTAACACGAGCTGTTCTTCACAAGTCATATTGGCTCTTTGCTCAAGCGAGTGTTCAGTGGCGCTAATCTATATCAGTCACCCTGAGCAAATGGTGGAAGTTTCACATTGTCCACGGCATGAAGCAGAGCCTTAATAAGTGTCCATGCTTCTAAGTGTTCATCAGCATAATGTGATTTTTTTCACTCTTTTGTTGAGATGTTATAGCCACTGAACTTTTACCACTTCTGTTCATTATAGTGCGATTATTGCATGATAACCACATTATTATATAGCTGCTGTACGTCTTGGTGACGTGCTGGCATAATATTTTTTTAAGAAAGACAGCCGAGAGATGCTTGTGAAAGCCCTATTGCCCTACAAATGTCAGAACAACGTGTTCTCTCATCACAGCAATTAGGGACGAGTCACTCTATTTACATGTCCCAAGCCCCACAGCAACACAAACCCAGCAAAACCTTACCTTGATTTAAATAAATATTCTCACATTCAGAATGAGCATTGAAGAACTCTGGGGCACACTTTCTATTTGTTGTTATATAATGTGCACATCTCTTCTAATGCCAACATACCACCTCAAACATTAAAAGCACATGTGTATTTCTATTGGCTTGCTACGTGACACTTGAAAACATGCAGGCATATGAGGCCAACATATACCCCTGTTGCCTGTCTAAGCAAAATTTGGGCCTGTTTATATTTTAATTCCTATAATTTAGGTTTCTAACACAACTTCGAATGCAGTTTTAAATAAGCATTGATGGGCTTCTTGAGAAAAAAAAACATTCAGAAAATGTAATTACAGTAACAGATATGAAAAGGAAGTGAGTATTTCAATGCTGAAATGTACATATCAGTTAAACATTTTTAAAGCACTTCTAATCTGTTATTCGAGGTCGTGTTAGTCAATTCACACCTATTGTAACACACCAGCTTAATACCACGTAAAATGTCGTGGTGGATTTTTTTTTCTTTCACATCGCCCACTACGATAGGGAATTTAGTCGTCTGAAATGGAAGCTTCCTCACCAGAGGGAAAACCAATGTGAAACATCAGACTGGCACTGTCAGGGAACTGCAGGATTCTTGTTCTATTTTGAGAAGCATTGGTGAAAGGAACACACTGTTAGTTAAGCGATTCTCTCACTCTTGACGGGTCTACGGGCCTCGAGAAACACATCATTTTTTTAATACAGAATATATTTTCTACACTTTGTGAACTGAACATTCTGCTTGCTTATGCTAATTGGGAATGTTTATATATGTTATAGGTTGATCCATCTTCATAATTCGACAAATATACTACATTTTACTTTATTTATCAAAGGTTGAATTGAGATATTAGTCAATAATTGTGTTTTAATTCATTTCAATTTTCCTGAAGATACATCACAATAATTACCTTGAGTACATTTAAAATGTGTCATTGTTTCCATTTTTAAGGTCCTCATGAAAATATCCCTGCAGTAATTCATTATTAATGTGAAACTTGCACCACCACGGCATATTTGCTTGCAGCCATACGCTTCTGTCTGCTATCCAGCATACAGTTATGAGGTGTGCATGAAATACACTATTTGTAGTCAGTGGTGGATTTTTTATAGTTTTTTTAAGAGCTCACCAGCTTAGAGAACACCTTACAATATCATATACCTGACAGGGAGAGGGTCATGGAATTGCAATACTATGCATTTACATCTAGATTTCAGCTTTTATGAGACACTTTTATATTTAACTTGGAGAACCTCTGACATGCATAAATATCACCAAGTTAATTTATAATTCTCTATCTTCTATAATAGAAGTTGCAAAGCCTGTAACTGTTGTGCACTTTTTTCTTGAGTCCACAAAAGTTATTGGAGGGTAAACTGATACACGGTAAGAACATATATGAAATAGAAAACTGTAACTTTTCAAGTTGAACATGTTTTTCATAATCAACGTTTTTGGGTTTAGATCGCGTTATTTATAAATGTGTCGTAACCCTCCACCACCCGACACATTTATAATAACGCGATCTAAACCCAAAAACGTTGATTATGAATAACATTGGTCGCGAAAGCCTACGTGTTTAAACTGAACATGTTTGTTCAACCCTATATCTTAACAGGTATTAAAGAACAACAATATGGGCAGTCTGCTGAATGGGGAGATACAAATACATTTCATGAGAGCTTATCGGCATTCTAGCTATCAACGCTACAAACACCCAAAGTGTTGTAGATGGGAGCATGACAGCTGAGCCATGGGCGGCCAACAACGTACACTTAGCTTCAGAGGTTAAGTTGGTTTGATTACTCTCACTGGCTTTCCCAGTCATGCCTTGCAGCTGCATGATGATCCAACGGTTGTGCTTCGATCACGTTCCGTTCTCTCTCGCCTGTGTGACAGTGCGTGTTAAAATAAAGAGTCCTGTGGCATTTAAGATGCCATTATTTACCAGTTTCATGACTAGATTCTCTGAAAAAATATATATCCCCCAGAATAGAATGTAGGTGCAATATTTTTTTGTATATATGTCTGATTTTTGTAACTGGTGTGAACTTAAAAAACGTAATGTGCATAGCATTTAAGAAAAGTATAAATATCTGTACTCTTTGGTTATTTCGGTAAAGTCACGTAGAACTAAAATTAATAAAATCATAGAGTACGAGGTTTCGATTGCAACACAAGTAACCGTCATCAGGTAGAACTACATTTGAGAGAGAGACCAAAACACAGACACGGAGACAGACACACAAACCGAGAGAGAGACAACACAGAGACACACACAGAGAGACACACAACAGACACACAGAGAGAGACACACAACACAGACACACACAGAGAGAGACACACAACACAGACACACACAGAGAGAGACACACAACACAGACACACACAGAGAGAGACACACAACACAGACACACACAGAGAGAGACAACAACATAGACACACACAGAGAGACACACAACATAGACACACAGAGACACAATGCCTCTGTGTCGAGGCCTTGAATAGACGGGGGGGGGGGGCAGAGAGAGAGGTGGGTCTGCTGGGGCAGCTGCTGGAGCAGAGAAATTAGCCTTTCAACGGATAACTTAGGGTCTTGATCACAACTTGGTGTTTAATGTATTTGAGGCCAGTAGTGGTTTAAGTATATTTACAATGATTGCTAATAAGGCTTACATAACAATGAAACATGTTAAAGAAACATAGTCTTTGGTTCTTTGGTAAAGTTACGTAGATAGAAAAAATAAAAATAAAGTGACTAATCTAGATTTGAAGTTTCGTGACTGCAGGGATCCATACTCTTTGGTTCTTTCGGTAAAGTCACGTAGGTATCAAATAAAATAAAATCACGACGTTTCGGGTGCAACAAAAGCGCCGCCATCAGGTGGGACAACCAGAGCAAGAAACAATTGCTGAAGTGGGCAAAAGGGCTGCTGTAGCAAGCAACACAAGCAGTCGTCCGCTTGTGTTACGATCGAACCGAAGAATATTAATTCCTGCAGTCACGAAAGTTTGAAGTCAAAATGTGAAATAAACATTCTATATTCTGGCGAGCCGTATTGCTTCTGATGACGATACATTATTTTGGTGGGGCATAAAAGCGAATCACAAAAGTAAAACACGTTTCACCTGATTTGCAGTTTTTTTGTTTAAGTCATTCAATTGCTAAACCAACTGTTTTTGTTTTACTAAATACATTGCCACAACATTGTTTAAACTTTCCAAACTTCAAGCCATGAACGCACTTTCATGAAATGCTGTTTTTATTATAAAGTGACGAATACACAGGTCTTCTCGCAACCACTTTCAAACCTTAAAAAAGAATGGCTCATACACACTATGTGAAGCTCTACTGGCAAGATGGCCACAGTTGTTATGCGTACAGTACCAGCCAATGTATGCATGCAAAAGCAGGCGTGTTAAATTTAGACAAGCGCTTGGAAGGTGATAAATACAAAAGGAATTATCAATAGTAATTACTAAGTAAGCTACTGAAAATAAAAAATTGTAACCACTTTCCCATTAACTTTGGAATAAATTACTATATAACGTTAGATGCGTTAAACAACATGTCCTTGCTTCTTCAAAGTAATGGATACAGGATCATAATTTAAAAATAGGTGTATCTGGAAGATGAACCAGTATAGTCGTTTCTTTGTCTATAAATAAGTAGCGATCCCTGCTATCCAAATTCAACTGTATGGAATATTTGCACGCTCATGGAGTGGAATGGTGGCATAGTGGTTAGCACACTGCTCTATGAACTCAGAGATCTGAGTTTGATTCCTGGCCAGAGCTAATAGTGAGGTGATATTGGAACTGGTTATGAAATAACCTGCAATGACTAGTGTGGTGAAGTATGGTCAAATAACACCCATGAACAACATGGCATGGGTAGGCCTTCATCCAGCAGTGGATTACCAAAAAAATGTAAGTTATAAATATTATGGTACACACAGAAAAATCGAGAAATGTTGTCATGGTTATATAAAATTAATCTCGTAAGCATGTCTTTTAAAAAATGTTTCGACATCAAAATATATAACAAATGTTAATATACATATTCACAGCTCTTGAAATGACTTTAATGACACCCTGGCTAGACCATAACGATGACTGTTTGAATGAGGACCCTAGAGGATGTGTGTGATCTTACCGGCTGTTGAATTTCTCTGGGTGCTTCTCTCTCATCAGGTGAAATCTGTGAGCTATTGAGGCATCCTAGGTGTGAAGAAACAATGAAACTGTCAATAATGTTTTCAGAGGCCAATCAACAAATACAAAAATAGTGAGAAGCTGTGTTTGTTATTCCCCATACACCACTCAAGTGATAAAACTGGTAATTAATTTAAAACATGATTCAAATGTGCATACAAAGAGAATGCAAAAACACATTAATTTAAACATTCATTTAAGCCACGATAATTGTCAATTTGTATGCACCTTTCATTGAAAAATATACAATTTTATATTGTACTGATTGTACAATATCTGAAACATGTTTTAACCATCAATTCCTTTTATCAGTGAACACATTATGCAGTTCAAATATACTCTGCTTCTCTATGCTTTTAGAGTAGAAATAAATGACAATCGTGCATCAAAAAATAATATGCCCTATCTCTCACAGTGATCGTATACAGCTAGACCAAGCATGCTTGCAATTCTATTCTTGCCCAAAAAATATACATTCATTTCAAAAGTATAAAAATCTTGTTATATATGTTTTACATTTATATCATTATAACACATTGGACATGTGCATTATCATTGTAAATGTTGAACATTAAATTGATTAACAATGTACAAACAGCCGCATTAACTTTTATTGTACACAATCACACTACATCAAAGCAGTTCATGCAATGTCAGAGCGATTATATTTTGCTACAAATTTGGGTGTCAGCATTGATTAGTATGTACACGGCCCCTGCTCACACAACGCAAAACAGTTACCCACAGTGCATTACACAGCTTTCAATCAGACACGCAGGAGGATATGTGGTCGCATCGGATCTGGATCTCATCTAAATTCAAACGTCAATGTTGAAGAGTCTCCCTGCTCAAATAAGCCTCGGGTGATTGGTGGTGGCCCTGAGCCGGTGGATGGAAAATTCTATATTCCTCTGGCAGGACCACAGTATAATCACTGTTGTCACAAAGCAATGGTCATTTTGTTGACCGTAGTGAAATGATACGTTGTCTCGACCCCTGACCAATATTGAATCCACAACCTTCCAATCCTGAGTTGGGCCAATTGGCCAGTTCTAAGCACAATCTACCCACAGTGTGTGCTTTGTCAAATCTCTGGTAAATCTGTGTCGACTGATGGGGCTGGCTCATGCTTGCAATAGAATTAGCTTTTAAGCTTTGTTTAACTTTTTTGTGTCACTCATTTGACAAAACTCAACGAGTACCAGTGATTTTGCAAGTCTGCTCCTATAACGTGTACCAAAACACAACGTATTTATTTTTTTAAACTGAAAAATTGAAATATTGTGCACTCTGTCCTGTATAAATTCCAACATGGCGAGCCATGACATGCAAAATATGGAGCCAATATAATGAATAATGTCATGTGCATTTAAACACTCTAATTTAGTATTCTAATTTTAAGTCCAATAAGCACTAATTAAGATCGAACGGTGGCACAGTGGTTAGCATGTACTGTGTTATGAGCATCGCTACCCGAGTTTGATTCCTGGCCACAGCTATCTGTACTAGTCCTGGACCCGTCTTTGACCAATACACACAATGTGGTGTGGAATTTGGTCAAACAACCACCCTGCAAGCAACACAGTATGAGGAATCCATCATCCAGCAGTGGATTAACAACAAACGGTCAATTATTATAATTTGCACTCTTATTTAATCATATATGTGGCTTGGTTGCAACTGGATAACATGTATATCTTCAGGTAAAGCATTTCTGCCTCACGGTTCAAAGCTTTGCCAGTTTCTGGACTGGTTCAAGTCGCCTCTTGACTCCTAAATAATGTGAAGTAGAATGTCTTGACATTAAAGTAGCGTCGTTATATGGCATGTCTTCTCTTATAAACTGTGGGTCCAAAACGACCCCGTCACTCTGAATATGAGCAAGCAATTGTGTGCCAGTGTGAAGGAATGATTTTCTATTATATCTGCACACGAAGCAAGTCTCTAAAAAGAATTGAAGGAACTATCGTGAGTTATTTATCTAGAAGCAGGTGATTGTGAGCTGTGCTGTCACCTATATTTGTTTCAAAGTTAACAATTTTGTAGGCATGAAAGGAAAGGACATCCTGCAAAATAGGTTTTATATTTGCTCGTGAGAGAATCCTTGGTGTGTGAAAAAAAATACCAGTGTTTACATTATACATAGAAACACTTATGGCCAACGTCATTTGAAAGTTAAATGCGTAGTCTGTGATAAAGAAAAACAAGCAAAAAGGGTTTAGTTTATGACCCTTCGGATGAACTATTTTAACTTCAACGGAGAACCATTGCCTGAAAATGTCACTGCTTATTTTCCTGAGTCATAAGTGTCCCTCAACACGAAACATCTGTCTACAACAGCTGAACAATCTTGTCCATGTATTCATATTCTTAGGTTTTTTTCGGTAAAGTCACGTAGGTAAAACATTTAAATTAATAAAAGTAAAATAAAAAATAAAATAAAAATCACGACGTTTCGGAGGCAACACAAGCTTCTGTATTGTCCATGTATGCATAATAGCTTGAAATATATTCCACGTATAGACCTCCTCAAAAAAATGCAATGAATGTATCTTGGATACCATAAATATTGCAATTTACCACACAATGTGCCTGGCTATGTGCCCTTTTGGCTAATAAATGTAAAAAAGACATTGACCTGATATTGACAACTGCATATGTGTGGTATGAGTCTAACCACAAGTGACACGTATTGATAAGCGTAAAACTCTATTACACTGCCTTCCTTACATCTCATCTTAATAATATTAATAATGCACTGCTACTATTCTATTTATATTCATTTATATAATTTATAATATTTTTTATTCAAGAAACAATTAATTCCAGCACTTGACAATTCATAAAAACAGTCAGTGATAACATAAATCAGCTACATGTCACTTTATGTTTAAACGTGTACAGTTGCCCTGTATGTATTTCCACTCATATTTAGTTTTACTGGTAGGAACCACCTGGTTCCACCAGCCCACAGGGGATTATTGTGTCCGTCCATCGTTCAGGGAGGGGCTGGGTGGGGAGGGAGGGGCTGGGTGGAGAGGGTGGGGCTGGGTGGGGAGGGTGGGCTGGGGCTGGGTGGGGAGGGTGGGGAGGGGCTGGGTGGGAAGGGTGGGGAGGGGCTGGGTGGGGCTGGGTGGGGGGTGGGAGGGGTGGGGCTAGGTGGGGAGGGGCTGGTCACCCCGTGGTGCCCTTATAAAACTCAACGTTTAACCTACTCACGCCGGCTTGTGCCCGCCCTCACAGTCGGGCATATTTGTGGAATAAACCACGCCGCTGTTGACCCTGGCCATTGACCGAGCAACCCAACGTTCCTACCAGCTCCCTCCACAGGAATGTGTTATATTTCTACTTGCTTTATGTATGTTTAACTTCTTTTGCACCATATGTAGCTAACCGTGCTAATCAGAGGTGCAGGGGAAAAACAACAAACAAAGTTAACACAAAAAGCAGTTCTAAAGAAATTAGTTTTCAACCTAGATTTAAAATTGCATCTCTCCTAATATCAGAAGAGGGTTCCAGACAGCCACAGAAGCGCATCTGAAAGCACGCGATGGACTGGCCCTCTTTGTTCAATGGCTTGCAAAAAGCCACTGCGAGGGTGACCAGAATCTGCGTGATGGTGTATGCTCCTTGACAAGATTTGCAAGATATTGTGGTTCATTTGTGGCGAGCACTTTGTGCGTAATGTGCGCGACCTTAAATGTATTCGTTTAGCAACCGCAAGCCGATGCAGCCTAGCGAGCACTGGACAGACATGGTCGGATCTTGCAGTACCCATCACGGGATGTGCCAAATAATTTTGTTAACGAAGGTTGGCGGCTATTCAAATGTATTGGATAAAAAAAGGAATGAGATACCCTGGAGAGAGATTGTGGGTTTATCTGCGCTTCCGGAATTGCTACGAAGCAGCAACAGGCACCTGTGAAAGCGGCATCCGTGATTGCTAAGACATCTGATCCTCACCCGTCTCGCTGGTGGAATATTCAGCACTGAGGACAATGCACGGGTAATGATTACCGGAGTGCTGGATAGGAAAACTGCAAGGTCAAAGGCACAGGAAATTGTAAATATTTAATTATCACTTACCCATCCCTGAGGATGTCATTGCTTGTGAATAATAGCACTCTTCTTATCTTTGTTAATTTATTTTAATGAATATATTTAATATTATTGTTTAAAGTCATTTATACACTTTTTTGGATTCACGGTGCTATCGCATGTTGAGAGGTTATTATTTAATAATACACGAGTTGGGATTTGTACATCTTTTCCATCATTCACAAGTGCACTGTGTTTAAGCACTGTTTAAGACGAGGCTTTAGTGCAATGATAGTCAAATATTTAAAGTATAAACTTTTCAAGCACATGCATTTGCTATATCATACTTGCCAACTCTATGCCGAACACTCCCAGTGTTGATTATTATGTATTTATGTATTTATTTCCAAAAATCCACAGTCCCTTTAGCGGACTCGTAAATGAAAATAAGTGGTTACGTCGTATAAATGACTTCATTTTGTATTCATTATTTACACAGGAGTTAATGTTTTGTTTTTATTTACATGTTGTAATGGCAGTGTGATATATTTTATTAATTTAGTATATGCCGGTAAATATAATATTATTGTGCATTTTCTCCCATAATGTACTTCACAAATATACTTTTATGCCCAATGCCCACACACGTGCTCAAGCACAGCCCTGCATTAGCTAAACAGATATTATTCAATGACGGCTGCAATTAATTCTGGTAGCTGGTGAAAAAGCCATGTCACCACGACCAACCTTGAGACAACAGGGTCGGGCCTCAGGATGCTGTGGTCAGCCAGTAACGTGAGGGAATGACCCACTCCTCTGCCCGATGCCACACATCCCCAGACTTCCAGATGTATCACCTATACTTACTGCCACTTTGAAACATTGTGACCCACAGTACTTAATGCAATGCTTTAGGCCAGCCTCCATGAGCAATCATATGTAAAATCGCTCCCATAAATCAATAATTG